GTAAAAAAAAACCAAAACAAAACAAAAAAACAGCCACGCAGCGGCGTGTGGGCCCCAAAGGTGCAGGTTCCGTGGCGGCCGGGAGCGATGGCGTCACCCGGTTCACCCGCGCGGCCACGCTCACTCCCACAGGCTGCACCCCTAGACACACGCTCACCATCACCCCACGCACCCGCACACTTGCCGACACAGGCTCACAGACACGCATTCCTAAACACGGTGCCACTCAGACACGCTCACACTCACCTGGGCACAGACACGCTCACATCCCTCGCACTACACACTCCTTCACATACCGGCCGACACACGCTCCCGCACAGCCGTGCACACAGCACACACGCGCGCTCACACACACATTCCTCTCACACACACGCGCGCAGGTGGGTGGGGCTAGAGGTGACTCAAGCCATCTGGGCCTCCGCTCTCTTTTATTGAGAGGGGGGCCCTAGGAGCATTTGTTTGGTTGGAGTTTCCTTTCCTTCCTCCCTGGGCTCCTCCCACACCCAGGAAGCCGCGCTCAGTCAAGTGTGACAAGGTGGCCAGTGTGCCACAAGTGCCCCGACTTCGCCACTCGCCCGGGCGCCCCGAGTGGACGGGATTCCGCTGCCCGCGCACTGCTCTCCTGCGTCAAGCTCGGGCCTCTGCAGTAGAGGCGGCCTCCGGAGCCAGGGGCGCCCGCTTCCCCGGAGGCCATGGCCCCGCTGCCCCCCAAGTCATCAGCGGTACCCCTGGTCCTCTAAGACCTCTGCACCCCGCCTGGCGGGGCCTCTCTCGAGGAGGCTCCAGGCCAACTCTACCCATGTTGACAAGTCAACACTGGGGCAACAGAAAGGGCTTTTCGAGAAAGCTTCTGAAGATCCCTGACCAGAGCTGAGGCCAGTGTGACCAGCTCGGGCCAGTCTTCCTTCTTATATTTCTCCAATGACTCATGTGAGTAGAGGCAGGAAGTCCAGCATCTCCTCCGGCAGCTTCCCCTTGGAATGTTCCAGAACCCTGGACCGTCTGCACAGGCTGCTGCAGCCATGGGGTCTGGCTCCATCAGCCCAACAGGTGTCTGTTCCCCAGCCACCGCAGTGGGGGGGGGGGCCTGCGCCCCAGACCCAGGTTGCAGTGGCGCCCCCGCTTGGGCCACAGAAGGGCACAGCTCTTTGAGTTCAGAGCAGAGAACCCGAGATGGCTGCCCTCCCCCCCCCAACCAAGCAACCATGTCAGGGTGACAGGCCGGCTGCAGCCAGCCTTTGCACACAGACCCCCCCCCCGGCCCTGTGCTGAGCCGAGGTCCCCTCATGGTGGGCTCCCCTCCAGAGCCCGGGGTGTCCTTTCCTGCCTGTGAGACAGTAGGGTGACGCTGACCTGAAAGGGTCAGGCCGTGGCTGCTTCGCTTGGCCCATCTCCTCCCAGGTCCCCAGACCGGCTCACACCGCTGTCCCGGGACGCTCCGGGCCAGGGGCTCACTCCCCGCTCCTGCCTCACATTATAGTGCAAGGGCTCTTTTTAAGACTCTGCCAAAATAAGACTGCCAAAAATTCTCTGGGCTGGGCTATTTTTGGTCCTTTTAAAATAAGCAACAAGGTAGAAGTTTCGGAGATCCATCAGAGGGGTTTTCTGGGACTCCTGCAGCTCTCTACCAAAGCACGTTAAGCAACGCCGAGAAGGAACAGATTGAAGATTCAGGCACGACCCTGGTGGAGCCCTCTGCTGGTGAGACCTGCTCCTGCTCCTTCCCTGCCACCTCTCCTTTCTCCTCTCCAACTGTGTGAGCAGTTTTGGATCCCCAGCTCTAGGGACTTGACGGGGACGACAGCACGATCATTTTGCCCCAAACAGGGCAACCGCTCTGGGGGCGGGTCCTCTGGCCTCTGCAGGTTCAGCCGGCCTAGCAGCCGTGATGGGCAGCAAGGAGGGCCAATCACAGCCCTCCTCTGCCTTTCAGAGGCCGCCCTCTCGGTTCCCCATGGCAACGCGGAACAACAAGCTGACACCATTTCTGGACAAAGAAATTTCTCCCGGGGATTTGTGTAGCATTACATGTTCTGTTTGCTGTGTTCCTGGGAGAAGTGCACACGGATATTAGAGCCGGGGCTCGGAAGCCAGTCCTGTTTGTTTTCCAGAGAAGGGGGAAGCGTAGTCATGGATAGTGTTAGGGGACTTCAGGCCTCTCCCTGAATGTAATGATCAGGCCTTCAAGTGACACCCACACAAAGACCATGGGCCCCCCGGGGGAGGTCTAACTTGGGCTGCAGGACCCTGTCAACTTCTCCCACTGAAACGTGTTAAGTGTCACCTCAGGAGGGACCGGGACTCACGGCAAAATAAAACCAGTGATACCAACTGTCCAGGCAAGTGGCTTCCAATCTTTGTGAATTTTACAGCACAACCCAGTCGTGTATCATGTATGTGCACATACACACACGTATGACAGCACTTCACCTCAAACATGTGATGTGCTCTATTTTCTAGTCCATTCTGTCTTGTAAATACCGTTGTGACCCTCTCCGTGCGCTGTTGGTTTGTAACCTGAAGTTTGAAAACACTATCTTGGACTGAAAGAAGGGCTGAGGATGGTGGCCTGGGCCCCCCGCATGCGGGCGGTGGTTGGCAGGGGAAACCCCCCTCCCCCGCCTGCTCCCCGGTGAGTGTGCGCTGCCCCTGCTGAGCTGGGCAGCCAAGGTCACCATCACCCCCACCCTTCAAGTGGACCCTGGCTAAGGGCAGAGGCGCACCGGCAAAGATGTGGGCTACCTCTGCCCCTCTCTGGACAGGGGTAGCAGAAAGCAAATGCAAAGGAAATGGGGCCCAGAGAGGCCCAGGATGGCTAAGGTGTTCAAACCTAGCCAGGGGTCTTGTGCAAGTGACAGACAAGAGCAGGGAGGGTGGGAGATTTAGGGAACTGGCCACATGAACTTTTAATTTCCTCTCATTTCTGTGGGCCACTCAGGGAGATGAAGGGGAAGACCCATTCTGGGATTTGCACGCGTGTGCGTGCACACACACCATCTCCGGCACTTTCCCCCCAATCCTCCAGGAGAACCCAAGCACGGGGTGAGGCCAGCCTCCCACAGGTGCCTTGATTGGAGCCCCATATCCACCTTGACCTTTAACACGTTCTGAAAATTAGATTCAGTCTCACCAAGAAAAAGGGGTATTTTTCTGCAGGCCTCATGGGAGATAGGGAAGAGGGTTTGCATCAAGAACCACACAGCAAACTCATAAATCCTGCTTTGAAAATCCGGATGCCTGCCTTCAAATCCTATTTAGAAGCTTCACCTCCTCTGTGTAATCACTGACCTTCTCCCTCAAGCTGCGGGTTCGTCACAGCCCCTTTGCTCCCCCCACCCCAATTGCCCCCCTGGGAATTCAGCTCCAGCCTCAGCTGGCGCAGCACACTCAGCAAGCCAGCCGGTGGCTGGCAGAATCCTACCGCCAGCTCATCCTACCCCAGCAGACTCCTAGGAAGTAGGCTCTGCTCCTCCCTGCTCATGAGAAATGAGGAGGGAGGAGGTTATTAGGTCCAAATTAAGTCTTGGATTAACGAGATAAAACTTTTGAAAAGGACAAGAATCGTTCTAATTCATCAAAACTGCAATGTGACATCTCACTATGAGTAAAGGCAAATGGGGTGCCCTTCCCCAGCTCTCAAGGCTGGTGGCGATGTGCCTGAAATGTCATATGATGCCAGATCAAAGCCATTGTCCCCTTGTTCATTAGTGCAGCCAGTCAAGACCTGCTTGTAGTCAAGACCCTCCAGCTCTCTTCCAGCACAGAACCAATTAAATGCTTGCCCTTTTAGAGCTTACCTTCTAGCAGGTGAAAACAAAAAAACTGCAAGTGAATTTATAACAAGAGCTCTGGAGCAAGCCAGAGCAGAGAAGGGGAAGAGGGAGGCCTGGAGTGCATGGTCAGGGAAGGAGGCAGGTAAGGTGCCAGATAAGACACCACTTGCATGTAGGCGTAAAAGAAAAGAGGAGGGTACCATGTGGCTATTGGTGGGAAAAGCATCCAGGAGGAGGGAACAGCCTGGGCAAAGGCCTTGAGGTCAGTAAGCATTCGGGAGGCCAGTGTGGCTGGAGCCAAGGAGCCAAAGTCACAGAGGATGAAGGTGAGGGTGGGGATTAGGGCTCAAGGGAGCTGGAGACAAAGGGCCTTTCAGGTCATCAAGAGCACTTTGATTTTACTCTGAGATGGGGACCACTGTAAAGTTTAACTGGCAGCTTATAGTCTAGCCACACTAGCCCTACATTTGATCATACTTCATTTTCATTCAGCCAATAAACATATGCTGAGAACCAGGCAAATCTGAACAATGGGACGTTTTCTTGTTACATGATAAACGAGATCACCGTTGATGAAGCTTGGTGCAGGCCTGCAACTAGGAACACAGACCTCCCAAGTGTTAAAAAAAAAAAAAAAAGGAGGTGACTCCCTCTCGACACAGTGACCCCATGTCTGGGACTCTCTTCCAAAGAAATAATATCAATACTGGAAAACCGTTAGGCACCTC